TATATTTAATTTGGATGTTAATGGCCATTGATAATATTTTGATTGCTACCTGTTATGGAAATGTTGTTGTTTGAATTTGTTTATTTTGTTTTCAAAGTTCACCAGATTTTGAAAACAGTTTTAAAATCTTGTTTCTGTAGGTCAGCCAGATGAAAATTATAAGATTGCTTTTATCAGGTGTTGCTCATGATGATTGATGTTCATCATATTTGATGATTATGTTTAGTATTTGTTATCTTTGTGCTTTCATTGTCATCCTATGTTACAATATAAATGCAGTGAGTTTTTTTAGTTTCTGTTTATGTGATCCAAATTTCTTTCCTAATTGAAGCAATCTGTTCTCTGTGTGTCTTTATAAACAGAAGCACTTATAAAAAGTCTCATGTGTTCATGTAAAGGGTAAAAATACATATGGTGGCTTTTTAAAGGTTTAAAGTAGAAACAAAAATACATGGAGTAAAATCTCAGTCTTCTCTAAATTCCTGATTGTAAATATACACAGCAATATATATCAACAGGATATACTGAATGTACTTTAAATAGCTATTTCTACATTTAGCTATTATACATTTGGCTATTTATACATTTAACTATTCAGAACAGGTCGTACTCTTACAACTAAATTTTACTTTAAATTTTGTATTTATTTCCAGGCTAAGCTGTCTGGGCCGAATGGCACTATGAATTGGGAAATACGATGTGATGTGCTGTGTAACTGCTTAGTTTGTTTATGTGCACTTAAGATGTATTGGCACAGACTGTGTTTCAGGGTTACGTTCAGGGTGGGGCTTGGCAATGGGAGGGAAAGCTGTTCTGCCTGCTTCAGTCTGTAGAAGGTGAAGCCATCTGGAGGAGAGGGAGGTGATACTTTCCCTGAGAGCTGCTGAATACATGTGGGGGAAGTCTCTCCTATTGTATAGGATGAAACAAATGGAAAGAGGGAGGAAGGGGAGAGAGACAGACAGCAGCAGGATGCAATAGATGGAGGAGAGACTTCTGTTTAATTTCTGCTCTCACTTTGAATTTCCTCTTAAGTTAGTTCTACTAATTTATTTTCTAATTAAATCTAGCTTTAGAGCCTTCCAGAGATTTGGGATGTTTCATTTAAGAATAGGTCCAGGCAAATCTTTCTCAAAGTTTTGGCCAACCAGAAGTATCCTCACTATGAAAATAAACCTTCCTCCAAACTGTGAAACTTCTTCAGCATACTTTTGCAGTCCTCAGAAAGATGGGAAGGAGTGTTTGCTCTGTGTCAGCTCTTTCATTTGCACCCAACTTCATTTGCACTGTTGAATCATATAACTGCATTAGGCACTGCTCTCTGCTTCATTCAAGTTGTACGCACTTCAGGTATCTTCCCTGAATTAGAATCGTCTATGAAGAGATATGTATTTCTGCTTTGCAGCATCCACTCTGTGGCCAAAACAGGTTTAATGATTTGTCCCTCTCTACTGCAGGTCTCTCTGGAATAAAAACTTCTGAATAGTTCAGTGAAGATCTTTGCTTCCCATTTTGTAGGGCTGGCTTGGCATAAGTTAAAGGTCCTTTGGCACCTTGAAGATTGCCAGGGCGAGTTCCATGTGTTGGCTCTCGGAACTCTTCTTGAATAACACAAGCTGCGTTGTTTAAGGCTCTTTGACTACTGCAGAGGAGATAATGGTCACTGTGTGGGATATATAACTATCTTTGAAACTATTAATGGAACTCCATAAAATACTTTGGGATATCTTGAGTATAAAAGGTGCCATACATAACCAACTGTTACTGGTTTTGATGATTAGTGTTTCAACTCTATTGTGGGTAAAAATGCAGGTTTTTTTAAAAAAAAAGTGGCAGTATTTTTCTGATTTGTTACAGATGATAAAGTTATGAGAATCTGTATAGTTTAACATCTTTTATGAATGTAAGGACTTTTCCTGCCTTCCTTGAAAAACAAGTTCCTATTTTCTTGGCTTTTAGCAAGTAAAACATAAATTAAAAAGCAAACAAACAAACAAAACAACAACAAAACAACAGCAACAACAACAAACCCCAGAAAAAAAGTAGTCATATTGTTTTAAGAGTAAATGACTTTGAAATTTTTTAAACTTGTGTGCAGAAAAGCTGTTCATTCATATATGATTGGGAGACAAGTCCTGTGTCTTTTCTCAGTTTTGCCTTATGATGAGATCTTTAAGTATGTATCACTGCTGGTCTTTTGCTGATACTCTGCATCTCTGAGAGGGCACAATCTGGGCTTAGAAGAACACTAAGGCATTTTTAAATGGTCATTTTCCCTCTATTGTGAGCAAATCAACATTATCTTGTCCAGAAGGCCTGCCTACACTGCTTCTTGCATCTTGTAGCCTTTGCAGTAGCCAGAATTTCCGTAGGAGTTCATGCTGTAGTGCTTGTCCACCATACATTTACAATAACTCTGTTTGCAAAGATTCATGCTAAAGCAGTCATTTGTATTTCATGGGACCCCAAGTTGACCAGATCAGGAGATTTAGCGTATCTATACATTATTCCTAGCCTTTTGGCCTTGCTACTCATGATTATTAAAGAGTTTATTAATCCCTTTAATAGGGGTCAGTCTCTACTTGCCATCTTTTGCTGTCCTGCTACCTTTAAATGTGTTCTGGTGCAATGGTAATCTTACTGTTAAATATGTAGATATGGCACACTGTTACTAATAGAGTCAATGAGACTTTATTAATTAGATTTGCATAGCTATAGAAGTGTAGAGTAGTATTAATAAATAAATGGGGTCTTTTAATTTAATATTTGTTCATCTTTTGCCTTCATAAGCTTGCAAATACCTGATCAAAACTCATTATCTAAGACATCTAGATCAACTTATTATTCAAATAATGGAACTATAGTGACTCATAATAGAGAAAGTGGACGTTTCAGCTTCGAAGGTCATGGTAATTCCTTTCATGTAACTCCTTTATTTTCTAATTTTCTTTGCACACTCTATAAAAAAAAAACAAACCAAACCCCCCTCCCCAAAACATTTTCTTTAACTATTAAGACAATACAGGGAGCTACATTCATGCTTCATTGACCAGTAAGCTTTTTTTCTCCTATGTCAAGCTTCCCATGGGATACAATAGAGTGTATTTTTTCAGATGATGTGTTGCTGCAGAGAAGGTGATTGTCAGCATTAAGCAAACTATTGAGTCCAACAAAAGGCTGACACAGCTTTTTCCTGCTTTGATTTAATCTTTTACTCTCTTTGTATTTACTTACTTTGTTTTTATGATCACATATTTTTTATTTGTAACACACTGCTCGTGTGGTGTTGGTGACTAGTAGAATGTCGTCAAGAGAGGGATCAAAACAGGGCTTCAAAGTTATTCACTAGGATGTAGCGTCAAAGACGACTTGCATCTAACCATATTTTAACATGCACAAAATAATAATCTGAATCATGTACACTTACAAGGCACCTCCTTATTTCTTGTGACAGAGGTAAAAACAGAATCTTTTGATCTCTGTAGAACCATAATGGTCAAAGAGTTAGAAGATGTATTCTGTTAGATCTGAAGATACTTGCCCCTGTAACAGAGCATTTAAGGTCCATCCACCGCACCCACCTCTGGTTCACAGCTGACTGTTGCACAAGGATTATTAATCTGCTGACACAATTTATGTCTCTGAGGGCTCTGCTGATTCTTGACTACCTGACTGCACTGAACACTGCCTGCTGGGATTCTACATGGCACCCTCTATGAATTGTAGCAACAGTCATCCCTGGTGACTGGCTCTTTTTCTTACATTACGAAGGTGCTGGAAACCTGCTTCACCTTGACAAATCCACACCCCACCCACCGCTACCCACCACCGCCTGCAGAAAAGTTACTTCTCAGTCATTCCTAGTGCTATGACCCAACTAAAGGTTAATCTCATTCCTCCAACTTCAGGAACACAATGGGTTGGCTCAAAAGTTATGTCTTCTGACTTGTCCCAATCATTTTATGCTCCTTCCAGGAAGGGTTAAGCATGGTTTGGGTCATCTGAGTATGGCCCCTTCTCCCTTCTGCACCTATGCCAACTGTAGCTGGCCATCAGGGGAGTGCTGTTAGTGTGCAGTGACAGAAATGGCATGAATAGGAACTGCCTGGCAGACTCCATTCCTTTCATGGGTTGAAAGAAAAATGTGTAGAACAAATGTCATTTGGAAGTGAAATATAATCTTTTTGAGTCAATACTAAACTGCCACTTCATTCTCTTGTATGAAAAGTTTATATATCACTTGCCACTTACAAAATCTCTTCGAATTCTGGCAATTTAGAAAGGATGTGCTTGGTAGTCAAATAATTTCTATTAAAAATTCCATTGTGCCACTTTATTATTAGCAATCTTATTTACTATAGTATCATGCCTTCATACTGTATAATTTTACTATAGATGCAACTGTTTTCCCCAAACTTTAAAACTAATAATTCTAAAATGTGTTATAGTAATGTAACTATGTAAACCATTTCTATAACGCAGTAAAATGTATGACTGTGAAATTAAAATATTTAAATGCATTTTGAACAGAGTATTTGAATAATTATTTCAGAGTAAAATTAGGGAACTGAAAACACTCTAACAATACTTGATACTGTATTTTGGAATAGTTACTTAACAAAGAATGACTATTTCAAGTTATGTGGAATAGACGCTCTGACTCCATGATAGAATCTCTTTCTTAATTTAGTTATTTTTCTTAATTTTTTTTTTGTTACTGCTTCACTTCGGGTTTTTTTTTTTTATTGCTTCAAGACATTATAGTGCAAATACTTAAACAGTGAAGTACATGTGAATAATTCTGACTTGTAGATTACTCCATGCTTTTCTTTTTAAAAGTGAATAGTACATTTTTAGGTGCTTGCATAACATTAATATGTATACACTTGAATCTATTTTATTTTTACTTTCTGTTTTGCCCACAGACAGTCTTTTGATTGATTACCAGTTCACCTTCAGCTTATTACAAGAGGATGATCGCCATCACACTGCCATAAACTTTATAGCAAATCCAGAACAGGTAAGAAAATGTTATTAACTTTAGACAAGTTTTGGAGAGTCATGATTAAGATTTCCATTGTATTTGACCATGATTAAAGGTTTGCCAGGTGCCTATAAGGTATTAGAGATATGTCAAATCTTTTTTAAAACTGTAAATTGCATTCATTGGGAAAACTTTCTAAATGGTAGATGTACTTCAGATCAATGAATATTCCAAAAAATTATCAGCTGGTTTATTTTATTGTTGTTCCCATGGATAACAAGGTTTAGTATCTTCCTGAGAGTATACCATTCAGTTAAGAAATCTTTATTAGCAGATGAGAAAAGTAATTTCTGAATTATAATTAAAATGCAGCCATTTGCCATCTATTTTTTCTTTAATTTTATGAAGAAAATAATGAAATCAGTTTTATCACAATCTGAAAAGATAACTGGTGTGGTTATATGCTTACTCATACCCTGTTCTTACAGAAGCAAAAGAGAGGATTGCCTTTGGCTCTGAATTACTACCACTTCTATTTATGTTTAAAATGAAAAACAGAAGACAATTAAAAGGCTATATTCAGTTATGTGCAATAGATATATATTCAATACATTCTGATATATTTTGTTAACTTCAATATATTTTCTTTTTTTTTATCCAGTCAAATAAAAATTTGGATATATCAATTAATGCATCAAACAACTTCAACCTCAATATTACATGGTCTATTGGTTCTACAGGTGAGGGTGAATTTTGGTACGACGACTTTTTCCCATATGATTTCATGATCCTTTAAGCTATTTTAACCTGATTGTCTCTTTGTTGCTAATTTTGATAATAGAACTTTACCAAATGTGTTCTTTTGCCATTATCATTATGCCATTGTTAATTATATTATTTAAACCTCAGATGATAATTTGCAATCTGAACAAAGCTTCATTAACATGTTAACTTCCTCTCCGATTCAATTAAAATTACTTTGGTAGGAAAAGCTTGTAGTCTATTTAAATTTTTAAAATGGCAGTGTTATGAAATGCTGTGATTTTAATTAAGATAAATTGCTTCCTTAACTCCTGAACAGACTGAGAATTTATTTCTTTGTTTCAGTGTTCAAGCTAAAAATTTAATTATTAACCTTAACATTGATATCAAACAATAAAGTTCTTCTGTGTATGCTGATAAAGGAGCTGCTTATCTATTTTTCTCCAACTTTGAACCCCATTACTCTTCTTTGTTTTAAGAAGAAGGAAAAAGGCTTTATTTAGACAGTTTCTCTGAATTGGTTTTATTGACTTTCTGAAAAAGCATCCAAGGAGAAGTATGATGCTTAAAATGAAAACGTACTAAAATAAAAAAAAAAATCTTTTTAAAGAAGGTTCAGAGTTTGTCTTACATGAACTCATGAATTTCCTCATCAAGGTAATTCTGAAGTATTTTAACATACCATAGTTAGTAAATGCTATTTATTCCTTTATTTTAACTTGGCACAGACACCCATATAGTTGCAAAAAATGATACATGTTTATTAGTAGGTATGTTAATAAAGTTTTCATGAACAATTAAAACTCTACAGCAATAATGTAAGATGTAGACAAATTCACTTTCAAGTTTTATTAACCTGTGAGGGTTTTTTTGAAGTAGAATGTAAATAGAGGAAAGCATATTATCTGTTTAGCTGACCATAACAACTTTCTTCTAAAATTCGTGTAACTTCTATCAATTTTATGATTCATTCATAATCGTTTGAAACCAGAGTAGGAGTTTCTGTGAATTCTTTGTATGTATATGTAATATACCTGATGTGCCATGTAAACCATAATAAAGGGTTACTAAAGTTGTACAATGAAGACACCAAAAGAAATTCAAGAATTTAAGTTTCCTGTGCAAATTTACTTTGGCACCTTTAACAATGATTAATATTTGTCATAAATATATCTACATATGGGTTTTTTTAGCTGGAACAATATCTGGAGAAGAGATTCCTGTTGTTTCTAAGGCTAATATTAAGGAATACAGAGATAGCTTTTCCTGTGAAAAATTTAACTTTCGGAGCAACCCAAACATCACTTTCTACGTCTATGTCAGCAATTTCTCCTGGCCAATCAAAATACAGGTTAGTATGACTGTTTTGTGCTTATAAAGATGTTGACATCTTAGCTTTACATTGAATTCCATGTTTTCACTCATACAGAAAGTATACAAATAGTATTATTTGCATGCTGTATTTTCTGTGTATAAGAATTGTGCTTTCAGTAGTGAATCAGACTTCAGACTGTAGATTTTCAAATCTGAAATTAAAATTATTGAATATAAATGTTTATTTGTAATATATCTTGTGCATTTAGATGTATACATAAAGGAAGGCATACAAATATGTATGTGTGTACCTAGATATTTGTGTGTAATCTTTCATTAATCATTAGCTTTCTTAGCCTCTGATTTTCTTAAAGGTTGAATGTTTACATCATATTGCAATATTCCAAACTTCAGTTAACACTAAGTGTGTTTGGTTAGAATGTATATTCTTCTTTGACTCACTGGAATCAATTTCACTGAGTATTTTCTGGAATAATGAGATACTGTGCAGTGGCAGACTCAAAAAAATCAGTGCAATGATGGTTGGTTCCCCAACCCCCCAGAAGTTTCAGCAATATTTATAGTTACCATTACTATAGCTGCATTTGTAAAATCTGTGTCCCCTGCACCAGTCAAGGAGCTTTTTATGTGGATGACCAGCTTTTGGCTATAGCTCCCTTACGGAAATAATTCCTAAAAATTAAATTGTTAAAATGATAGTAAAATTTCATAATTCCTAGTGATTTGCTCAGGAAACTGGAACAAGCTCAAAATACTTGCCAGTTAACCATAATTACAAATATTCCACAGATTTCCATTTTGGTGAACACCCCCTCCCCGTTTTTATAAAATACAGAGCCTGTTTCATATATATATGATAAATCATAGACTCATAGAATGGTTTGGGTTGGAAGGGACCTTAAAGATGATCTAGTTCCAACCCCCCCCGCCCTGGGCAGGGGCACCTTCCCCTAGACCACGTTGCTCAAAGCCCCATCCAACCTGGCCTTGAAGTCATGTGCTGGGGAGCCTCCTGGATTAAAGCAGTCATCTTCGAAGTAAACTGACAGAGAAATATTATTCCTGTGTTGTGTTAAGTAAAGCTAGACTTTTTCTTAACATGGATGTTAACTGTAAATATGTGTTACGCAGTGTCAAAGGATGAATTTGTGCAACTTACTGACATTTATGCATGTACTATTTTATATTAAAAAAACTGAAGGTTAACTGCTTTCTTTTCCTCTTCATATTAGGGGTATTTTTTACACTCATCAGTCCCACTTTCTAAGGGTAGAACAACTTCAATTGCCAAATAGCCTTCCTAAACAAACCCATGAAACAATTTAAGCTGTAAATACATTACACGCTCCTTTCACCTTTAAGGTTGGAAGGTGCCTATATCATCATTGTAAGACAAATGTTATTAAGGTGATGTATTCCTAAGATGTGCAACTCTTTGTCAGATGTTGGCAGATTGCAGCTCCTTCCTGTGCTGTTTCCACTGCAGCATAACACCTTAATGGCAACATGTTTTAATGCTTGATAAAGGGAATCCCTGATGATTGGTTACATCCCTTCTTTTGTTTGGGGTTTTTTTAATCAGACTTTTCCTTATCTGCCACAGTTGCACAGATTTTTTTGTATTTATTTTTGAGGCACATTGAAATTCATCAGTCTAGACAGTTCTGTCTCAGAGATGATGATGCTTGAGTATTCCTTTCCTGTCCTGCTAATTTTTCATAAAAAACTTCTTCCATATAGAAATGAAGTCCCTCTGATTTTATGCAGCAGAAAAGGAATGCTAAGGTCCAATTATGGAAACTGTTTCAGGATGTTAATAGTATCCTCTGTATTTGCCTTCCTAAATCAACAAGGTGATTATTTAGCTCTCAACTTTTTTATGCTGTGATTTGTTCTTTTCCAAGGAAATATCTGAAGTTCACATTACCCATATAGATTTCTTATGTTTGGTGCTCTAGCAGTAGATACGATCTTCAAATGCTAAATGGAGTAGGGAGCTTTTCAGAGAAAACAAGTTTCGTTTTATATGTTAACTTTACAATTCTGTATACAACAGAAATTTAAAAAATATATGAGCCTTCCTAGGACTTAGGGTTAAGAAAGGGAAGTCATGGTTCATCCCTATCCAAAGGCTGAAGTTTCCAAGGCCAGTACTAAATGGGCTCACAGTTCTAATATTTATGATCTTCTACATCTGCATCTCTTAGCATACCAGATTTCACCTTCACAATATGCAAAAGTGGTTGATACCAGTCTATTACTGTATTAGAGTGTCGTGGTTTAACCTCAGCTGGCAACTAAGCACTGTACAGCTGCTCGCTCACTCCCCTCTGGTGGGATGGGGGAGAGAATCGGAAGGGTAAAAGTGAGAAAACTCGTGGGTTGAGATAAAGACAGTTTAATAGGTAAAGCAAAAGCCGTGCACGCGAGCAAAGCAAAACAAGGAATTCATTCACTATTTCCCATCGGCAGGCAGGTGTTCAGCCATCTCCAGGAAAGCAGGACTCCATCACGCATAATGGTTACTTGGGAAGACAAACGCCATCACTCTGAACATCCCCCCCTTCCTTCTTCTTCCCCCAACTTTATATGCTGAGCATGACGTCACATGGTATGGAATATCCCTTTGGCCAGTTGGGGTCAGCTGTCCCGGCTGTGTCCCCTCCCAGCTTCTTGTGCACCTCCAGCCTTCTCAGTCGGTAGAGCATGGGAAGCTGAAAAGTCCTTGACTAGTGTAAGCACTGCTTAGCAACTACTAAAACATCAGTGTGTTATCAACATTATTCTCACCCTAAATCCAAAACACAGCACTGTACCAGCTACTAGGAAGGAAATTACCTCTATCCCTGCTGAAACCAGGACATAGAGAGCATCCATTTAAAGGATGATAATTCTTACAAAAATGATGTTACTGTTATACTGATGAAAGGACTCTTCGGGAGAGTCGAGATACTGATGATGGATTCGAGTTCTGGTTCGGAATGGAGAACTCTTCTAGATGGTCTCTGAATTAATTTTCAAATGGTCTAGAAATTAGTTTCCTGAATTAACCACCTTTGCCTTTTTGTGGTGATTAGAGAGTTAGCTCTGTGTTCTAGTGCAGGGCTTTGGATGTCACAGAAGCTAGCCTATGCATAAATGGTCTTAGACACCGAACTATTTGCACTGTAGTCCTTTCCACTAATGCAGTCATGCTGCATTGGTTAGATTGTGTTGGTTAAAAACGTAGTGATATTTTATATCAACTCAGTACTGAAGGTTTCATTTAATCCTGTTAGAGCTAAGGAAATTACTGTGGCTTCCTTGAGAAGCCTACTCTGTTTGTAGGAATAAGTAAGATAGCAACATGAAATTTGGCACATGCCTTTTACACAATACTTTTGTAGAGGACTAAATACTTCAGCACATCTAGCATTTTTCAAATACAATCTGAGTACCAGTCTCCTGTATTTACATTGTTCATTGAGACTTGTCAAAAATAGATTATATAAAGAATGAGTTCCTGAGGAAGCAGAAATAGTGACCTTACTTCCCTTGTAACTGATATTTCAAGTTGTGTTGTTGATATACATTTCACCACTCTCCTTTTATGCCTTCTGTTATGCTGGCGCTGGAGCCAAGATTACTTGTGTCTTTCATCGGGAAGGTTTGGCTGTTGGTGTTGGAGTTACTGCTCTTACCATTTCATTTTCGGTAGGAGAAGGAACAGTACTCCTCATTATACAAGACACTTAGTTTCGTTTTCTGTCAAAGTCACCTATATTATCTCTATTTTTGCATTCAGTTCTCTTCAAGGTTTTCATAAATACAAGGAAAAACTGTACATCCCAGCAGGTGATTGTTTATTTGGATCAGTGGCTCACAGTTGCTTCCTCAGGTACTTCTATTATGCATGTTACCTATTCAGCAAGCTTGGAGTTTTTTTCCTAAATCTTAATAAATCCCTGATGGTTCTAACACAAAATATCCTCTTTCGAAATATGATTTCCTGACTTTGAGAAAAGGATATGTGATGGTTGTGTCCATACAACAATTTCCTGAAGATGTGCTGGTCTCTGATAACTCTTTGCCAGCAACTACCCAGTGACCTGTTTTGGTTTTTTTGTCACTGGTGAGCCTAATGACCTCAGAATACAAGTTCTTCAGCACTGGATAGCAGTGAATTACTTGCCAATCATAGGAACTATGTAGGAAATTTTCAGTTTCAGATGAAGTCCCGCTCTCCGTATAAAGTTGTACTCCAGGTTCCCATTAGTCAGCACCCTTCTTCTGTCCATAATGGCTACAGGCACACAGCTGGGTGCTCAGTCGGGAAGAGAGCTCTGCAACCCTCAGGGGAAAACGCTGCATTTGAATTCCTAATGCTAAATGCATTTTATTTAGCTATGTGATCTCTTCTTCCTTGACATCAAAGGAGAAGCAGAAATGTGACATGGTTGCATAAGGGACCAGTAGAAAGATGGTGATACAGGACATCTGCAGCTTAGAGCTCTTTCCACAAATAGACCTGTTATTGGGTGTAACATGGACAGCTACCAGTTTTTCTCAGAAGTATGTAGTAGTTATACGCTGGCACACAAATGTTGGATATTTTCCTGTTGAATTATTGGAAGGGTTTATACCACACTTTTTTCTCCATTTCCTGTAATGCAGAGTTGACTGGAAAGTAAGGATGAATACAGAGCCATAAGCTTAGCTGTTCCAGACTTTCATAGGCAACAGTAGTTTATGCATCTTTTCAGAGGAAGTCTGTATAAAGTATCTTTATTATTAGAGGGTTCAAGTGTCCAAGTAATAGGACATGATTTATCATCCAGACTTACCATCCCTATGTTTGACTGAGTGTCTGTGACAGTCCCAGCCCTTTAGGTGTACCATGTCTTATGTATCTGTTAAATAGGACTCCATGAGAAAATGCTGTTGTCTTAAATAGGCTAGATTTCTGAGCAGAATTTGTGGCAATGCCCCATAACTTGTTTCTGCTCATTTTTATTTTATTTTGAGAGCAGCTGTAAT